AAAACGGAAGTGAAGAAGAAGAAGAAGAGGGCAGGCGTACGCAAGGACTTGGTACTGGTCGTCCTCCTTGGTGAGGTTGGCCAGCTTGTTGAGGAACCCTTCCACCTTTTGTAGCGTGAACGTGCTTCGGCTGCACGGCTTTCCGTGCGAGATGAAGAACCTCTTGGCAGTCTCTACACGAAGAAAAAGAATTATTATTAATCATAGAAAACAGATTGAAATGTCAGATTGAAGGCGTAGAGGAAGGAGGTGGAGAAGGAACCTGAGACGTCGCCCTCGGCAATGTCCTGGAGCACGTCCTCGACGGGGCATTTCCAATGCCGGGCCATCAATTTGGCCATGTTGCGGTCGCGAAGGTTGTAAACGCGCTTGCGATCATCTTTGCACAGTAGTAGGCCGCAGGTGAGTTGCACCACCGTAGCCGTTGCCGCCTGCTCCTCTTCACTCAGCTTCATCTTGCTGCCGGAGGCCAGAAGGGGCTTGAGGTGGGCCTTCACCACCTCGACCTTTTGCGTGTAGGAGGGCTCATCTCCTATTCGTTCGCAAAGGCGAGTGAATTCGTAAAAGGAGGACAGGGCCACAAGAGACTTTGAGGTGTCCATCTACAAGGTCAATAATCGAACAACAAAATGTTGATTATTTTATTTTATTTTTTTACACACTTTTCTTTCCTGGCAACAAATTAATTCTCAGAAATTGATTGTGCCGAAGCTGAGGCAACAGCTGCAATCTTCGCCACACTGCAAAAGGGAACAGGTGGAACAAATAAGGTTATCAATGTGCACCTTGCTGGTTGCACAGAAAGAGAATTTCAGTGCAGCATTGGTCATTGTTTGAGTCAGTGCCACATCAGAGCCATCAACAGAAGCAGGCAGCACAACAAGGAGAAGATGCACATGCAGCTGCACTCCACCACTTGTGGTGCACCTGTAGTGAACAGAGAAGGATCAGTCTTGCAGTAGTGCATGACAGCTTGTACCTTGACAACCCAACAGTCACATGCTTGGTTGGTCAGGTGAGGTTTACACCCTCGGATGCCCATCCTGGGTATTTGTCCGCAGAAAAGCAGAACACCCGGAGAATTTCGCGCCAACTTAAGGTGGAGGTCGTGACTAGGGAAAAACTAGAGAAGAGAAGAAACGGAGAAAGGAAAAGCTAGTGTGGCGGAGCTTGCGTTGGCGTGACAATCGGAATTCAATCAGATCAGAACAAGCAGGACATAGCTGATGGCTGACACACATACGCAGCCGTCGGCGGAGAACGGCTCCACGCCGCAGAAGAAGAATCATAAGAAGTACAGGAAGGACAAACGTACGTACGTGCTCTCCATTTAATCGTTGGCGTTCTTCGCGATTTTTTGGCGGATTTTGAGGCTGATGTCGTCTTCATGTGAACTGCAGCGTGGGACAATGATAGCATTGACCACTGGAAGGTGGATGCATTCAAACCCGAGGACAACAAGGCAGGTTCATTCCTGGAGGAGTCTTCATTTGCCACTCTGTTCCCCAAGTATCGCGAGTCCTACCTCCGGGAATCTTGGGCCGCCATCACCAAGGCCCTGAAGGATGTCGGCATTGATTGCACCCTCAATCTCATCGAAGGTTTTTACCCCTCTACTTCCATTCAAAAAATTCGCACCTGCATCTCGAATGTGCTCATTTTCAATGTTTGC